ATTTGCTTAAATCCATAAGCTAGGAGGGAGAAGAAACTAGAAAAAAGAAACTATATTTTTTAAATCGAATTTAATCAGCCAAACACCATTTAAAGAAATAACTTAATCTCTAATTTAGTTTTTTGATTGAGTTTGATGCATGTATAAATACTCATACATTGAGTTTGGTATTATATAGATTTCAATAAAAGATTAAAATTTATAATAAGTTTATATGTAATTAAGAGTTAAATAAATAAATTTTTTTAAATTTATTTCATCTGTTCTAAGAACATGTGCAAACTTACAGTTGTATTACTTGAATTTTTCCGACCTGTATCAATTTAATTTAAATAATTTATTAAAAATTAATAAATATTTTTTATGTTTAGTACTGTTTCTAACAAAATGAATAATAAATTTTTTATATTTTTTTAAAAATAAATATTTGAAAAGAGTTACTATCTTACCATTATAATAAATATATGATATAATAGTATATTCTAAAAAATACTATACAAACTTAATAATTCATATATGACATTTCTTATTTTACTTTAATTATGTTACATCCAAATATTAGTCTCCATACCTTATTAGAATTGATTATTTAATATCTTTTATTTCTAGTATAGGACTAAGTTGACATTGTCTAGTATACTACATGTAATCATAAGAGAAAATTAAATTAAGGTAGCTTGATAAATCACAGTGTAAACTACAAACAACATAGAATAAGAGATTGTAATTCCCAAGTTTAAATTTAAATATATATATTTTTTTAATTTTAGTTTAAAGTAAAAATAAAGTAAATTTGATAGATGATAAAATTAAAAATAATTTTAGAAAAAAAAAGTGAAAATTTAGGTTTTTAGGATATTTTTAAAAGAAAAATTGAAAACCGAGGTCGAAATATAATTTAGAAAAGTTTTACTACGTAGGATGCCCGGTCAGTAGTCTCGACAAACCAGGACGCGCCGCGTGCAACAGACGTTGATGTGGAGCCACGTGGGAGGTCATGCGGGCGATCCGCGTGCCTGCGATCAAACGACTCAGATTCGTTCCCGTGCGCACGAATGGCTCGGATGCGTTCCCTCTTCAAACGCGATCGCATGACCTAGATTAGATTGCGATCAACGGTCCAGATTGGATCACGATGAACGGTCCAAATTCACTCTCTATTTAATCGTGATCGGACGGTTTAGGTCAAATGCAATGGACGATCCAAATTAAAAGGAGACGAATGTAAATAACCATCCTCATACCAAACTCTAACCTTAGCCGCTGGACGCCCTCGCCGGGAAGGAGAGCCGCTGCCACCCGCAGCCGTACTAGAGCCCTTTCCGACCGCCAAAAGAGGTAAATTTCTCCATTTACTCGGAATTCAATTTTAAACACCCCCATGGCCAAATCGGAATAAAAAGACTGATCGATTGGCCGAAAACTGCGGGCAAAGCCTGGCGACGCTGCAGCGGAGAATTTCATAAAATGCTTCCGATGAGACCCTTCCCGATTCCTGTTCGGCGTAATTTTTCTACTATTGTGATCATTGTTTCCTTCTCTACAGGTTGACCAGAGCAAAACACCCAACCGCAACATGAGCTGGAGGAGCTGCCGCACTGAAGAGTCCCACTGTCGGTGAGCTTAGGTTTTTTGTATTTTTTGGACCAATCGAGGCCCCTTAAAGTATTTTTTCGTAAGAATCGATGCAAAATCGGTCGAATTTGGCCAAAAACGGCCAAAAATAGCCAACCTGAGAGCACTGTCGCCGGAGCACGGCGGGGCCGCCGTGCCAGAATTCTAAAATTGGCCAAAATTGGACCCTAAGGCTGATTTTGAATTTTTTAGGACATTTGTAGGTACTTATAGTGCGTTTTGATTCCCGAAGAAAAATTTAGGGAACCCCGAGGCCGCTAGTAGGCGCAGTCAACAATTTAACTTTTCGGGCATCAAATTAAGTAAGAATCCCTCACCCTATCATCTGTTATGGAATTGAAGTTTAATTTTAAATAATATGGTATTTTGTATAACTTAAAAAATATGTATAATTAATTACGGGTTACTAATAGAGCCAGAATCAAAAATTATTTTGTATTAATTTTTGTTGATTTATTTTACAATTTAAATGCATAATAGTATCTGATTTATCGATTTTATGGTTTGAATGCATGTATTGTTACCTTACGTGATTATTGTTAAATTAGAAAACCGAGATATGATTGCATTCCCTGATACATGTTTGTTTGTTTATGTGATTACGGTTGATTTATAAAATGGAGACTAAAGAAAAACGAAAAAATTGTGTGATTAAGTGAATGGATGAAATGACAGTCTTACTGAATATCCTGAGAGATGGTGGACGGACCGGTTACAATAGGGAACCCTACTGTGAACGTTGTCTCATATTGCATGGGGTATCGAGACTAGTTAATTTGGCGCTCATACTATACGGGGTATGAGGACGACCCGTTTCACCCTCATACTGGACGAGGTATTGAAGTTTAGTGATTTGACGCTCATACTGGACGGGGTATGGAGACAGCCCTTTAATTGAGAATGTTGAAGGAAATGGTTCACGCGTAGCGAAGACATCCCTATGAACCTCCATGGATACCAGTAGGCCGATAAAAGGAAAGGTTGTTTGATTTATTGAATATGGATTTATAATGTGTGCTTGTTACCAATTACATATGAAATCATGATAAGTGCTATGTTGTTGTCTTTATAGTTACTTTTATAAATCTCACTGATGGTAAATGATTTTATTATTAAGAAATGTATTTATTTTAATTAAGTGCTCAATTAATTGTTTTGATTTTCTACCAACCTTCATTTATGTGTCGGTGAGTAACGTGATATTCTTACTTGGCTAGTGTAGCTCATTTCTTATTTAACAATTTCATATCAAGATGATTAGAATTCAGAGCCTGATCCACAAGAGGGTTGCGAGTAGGATACCGATTTTATTTATTTTCCGTTTATTTCCTTGTTTTCTTGTATTTTCTTTAAAAGGGTTAATTCTTGTAGCACCATTTGAGACTTCAAGTTTTATGTGTAAAGAATGTAAACCTTTAACTATTTATTTCGTTTCGTACTTAAGTTAAAATTTATTTCTTTGGACATTCTAGTATCGTTACAGAGATAATCAAGTTGAAGGAATTAATGGAAACCATACTTAATGTTTAAAAAATGCTTTATGTGTTACCATTTGAGAGAAATGAAGTAACAAAATTAGTAAATAAACATATTATTTCATTCATTATGACTCATGCACATGCACCCATGTTATATACTTATGTTATGCATCTTTGTTTTAATGCACATTCAATTTATATATTTTAATAATTTAGATATTTTTTACACGATATTTGATTCGTAAATAAATAAACTTCATTAGCATCTTTAATTATATAACGATGAATTTATATTTTCACGTGATATTTTTAATTTTAGAGAGTATTTTTTAAAATAATAGAAAAATGAATTTTATTTTCACATGTTAAAGAATAAATCACAAAAATAAAAAATTTGAATAAATTATGAGATCAACTTGAATCTAAATCTTGTTTTCATTCAAAATTTAGTTTATCTTTAAAATAAATCTAACAATTCTATGTAATTCATTTACAAAGTTGGACTTAATTTAACTAAAAATTATAAAATTACTCCCTAAAATAATATATCCTAAGTTTGATACCCTTTAGAATTCATTATTTTAATTTCACATGTGAAGTTATTTTTTAAATTGAATATAACTTTACATTATTTTTAATTAAATAAATATGAATTTCCGCAACTTTTTTATATTTGTTCAAATATATATTTAATTATATTTGTAATACATTACTATTTTTATTCAGATAATTTAAAATTGATTTATGATATAATTAATTGATCATTAAATAACTGACCTACTCGCTGACCCTCTTGAGAGAGTTAGACTCGCGATCTTTATCTCGTTACAAAATTACAGAGCTGAAATTATCTACTCCATTTTAATCCCTTTCTCATTCGTCTTCCCTGTCGCCTGTTCTCTATCAAATCAATTTGTGGTTGCAGATCTTTGACGCCACACAAGAACCAGAAAGAGAGACCCCTCTTTTACAAGCGTTAATCACAAGGTCTGCTTTCAATTCTTTCTTCTAGGGTTTTGATTTTTCCTTTTCTTTACTTACTGATTTATGGATTTTTTTTTTGGTATTTCCCCCCCTATGGTTGTTGTTGAACAGTGGGAAGTAGGGAGGAGCCATGGGCCACCATCATCATCACCACCATCATCATCACCACCACGGCGACAGTCCGTACGATGATCCGTTATTGAGATGTTGCTGTTGTCCGTGTTTGCTCGTTTCATCGATTTTCATGGGAATCGGAAGATGTGTGTTTCTGGCTTGCTATCCTCTGTTCCGGTGTTTTGGATTTGACGAATGGCGCCACCATCACCATCATCATTGATACCGCTTATTTCTTCTCGGATCTACTTGATTGCTGAGTCGTTCATCTTCTTCAGTGTTTGGTTCTCTTTCCTTTATACTTTACTCTCTGTTCTTTTCTTCATCTTGAAGCTTTAACCGTTCGTGGAATTGGAGACTTTGCTGTAATCAAAGACATACACATTGCTAAAATTTTTCAATTCGCTGATGGTGTCTGATTAAAATAATCCTTGGGGTTTCGTATTTTATATATATATATATATATATATATTATCCTCTATCAGTAGGTTTTCCATTTTTATTTATTGTCATATAATTACAACCAGTATATATATATATATATATATATATATATATATAGTATGTAGCATCTTTTCATTGCTTTTGTAGTTTCCAAGTTGCAAAGTGCAAAACTTGTAGCCTTTTGGCTAATTGGTGAATCCCTTTGTTTTTTCAACTTTGCAGCAGTACATGGGTGTTGAATCTTTTTAGATTTCATAAAACACAAAAGTAATGTTTATTAACTTTCCACTTGTTCTTTATTTTATTTATAAATTTCAATTATTTGCATATAATACTCATAATTTGTGGATAATCAAGTTAATATTATTTATATCATAAAAATAACTAATTTAACTTGAGAAATTATGAAATTAAAATATTATTTTATATTCAAATTTGTATTGTACAAAACTATAATCTAAATTAAATTTTATTGCTCCATCTGTATGTTTATTAATAAATTGTGGAATGAGGCAAGCTAAAAAGTCCTTAAACCGGAAAAAGAATCCACCCCAGCCAACAACCCAAATAAACCTACATTTATATCGGGCCAAACAGAAAAATCTAAAAGAAGAATAGCCGAAGCCTATTTCACGGGGCGACTAACTAAGACAGAAGAGAGAAACTAAAGAACAAGAGTGGGGGAAAAACAATGAGAGATGGGTTGTGTGTGGCAATTACGGTAAGAAAGGGGAGAAACTAGAGAGATCAAGAGGATAAAGAGGCTGAGAGAGAGCTAGAAAATGGGGGAGAAGAGGAGGAAAAAATTTGGGGTGTAAAGGTCCAAATCCCCTATTAGGGATTTTGAGTGTATAATTTAAAAATAATAAAATAAGTAATACTGAAATTTGTAATTTAGCGGAAGTAATTAGAGTTTAGGATTGCATTCATTGCACAGTTTACTTAAAATACTCAATAAGATTACGAGAATGTTTTTAAAAATTTAAATGGAAAAAGTATAAAAAAAAAACAAATATTAATTTCTGCTCGAAATTGGGGAAGCAAAAGAGAATTTCCTAACTACTTTTCTTGTTGTTCAGTGTTCGGGTCTTGGTCGTCATGATCTAAAATTACTAATAATAAAGGTTGAGTTACACTAGTTCAGTAAGAATATTAATGTCTTATTATTGATACATAAAATTAAAGGGTTGTAAAAAACATAAAACAACTAATGAAACTCATTTTTAAACTAGTATTCATTATTCGTTTAACTGAAAACGTTAATATTTTCTCGACTTACTTGTAAATTCTTAAATATCATTTATTAAGGTAAGAACTAGAATAACAATCTACAATACGGATTCTAAATGACATATAACAATTAACTTTATGCTATTTTTCGAAACTGGATTCCTTACCATATTCATCTCTATCATTTTAACTTTTTACCGGTGTTGCTAAGGGTCCATAGGGATCTCCACTATACGTGGACACGAACATTCATTCAATAATCAAATGACCGTACCCATTTTCTGTCTCGTAATTGACGCCAAAACATACAACTACCTCAATATCCCGTCCAGTATGAGAGTAATTAAAACAATTCCTAGCCTTTTCTGGTATGAGACTTTTCAGCTTTGTACGACTGAGGATAACGTCCACGATAGGGTTCACCATATGCACCAAGTTCGTACATTCTTTTCTAAGACATCCAGTAAGCCCTATTCATTTAAGACCGTTAATGCACACATATTTTTTCTTTTATTTACTATTTAGTTTTAAAAGACACATATATCTATATTCCAAACAACAAATGAGTATGGAATTCATATTTTTGTGTGACCTTTATCATCTGACACTCAGAGACATTATATGAACTAACATACCTGCATTCTTCCTACTGAGGGCATCGACTACCACATTATCCTTGCCCGGATGGTACAAGATCTTACAATCGTAATCTTTAAAGAGTTCTATCCAACGCTCCTCTAATACATATTAAGGTCCTTCTGTGTGAATATATGCTTTAGGCTCTTATAATCTGTATAGATTTCAAATATTTTTCCATACAAGTAATAACGCTAGGTCTTCAAAGTGTGGATAATGGCAGCAAACTCCAAGTTGTGAGTGAGGTAATTCTTTTCATGAACTTTTAACTGCATGGACCCATAAGCTGACTTTCTCGTATTGCATCAAAACGCAATTCAGTCCTTAGTAGGATGCGCCACTGTATACTATATACCCACTTATTCTATTCGGCAAAGCCAATACTGGTGTGGTAATTAGTCGTTCCTTAAGTTATGTAAAGCTCTATTCACATTCCTCGTTCCTCTTGAACTTGACATTTTTTTCGTAAATCGTGTCAGGAGGACTGCTATACTTGAGAACTTTTTTATAAATATGCAGTAATAATCTGTTATATCTAAGAAGCTTCGAATTTCCTTGACCAAGGTTCGCGGCTTCTAACCCATTACTGCATCAATCTTGTCAGGATTTACTGACACTCCATCTTTCAATGCTATGTGTCTTAAGAAAAAAGTTTGCTCAAGTCAGAATCTACACTTACTCAACTTTACATATAGTTTCTTTTCTCTGAGAACTTTTAAGACCCGAATTAGATGCTGAACTTGTTCTCCTCTGCCCTCAGAGTAAAGTAGGATATCATTAATAAAAACTATGACAAACTGATCCAAGAATGACTTGAAGATCCTGTTCATCAAATGCATAAAGATTGTAGACGCGTTAGTCAATCCGAACGACATAACAAGGAACTCATAACGCCTATATCGGGTCTTGAAGGGATGTCTTAGGAATGTTTTCTGCCCATACTTGATGGTATCCTAAACGTAGGTCGATCTTCGAAAAAATCTGAGCACCCTATAACTAATAGAAAAGATCATTAATTATGGGAATGAGGTACTTGTTCTTGATTGTGACAATGTTTATTTCTTTGTAGTCTATACACAATCTCAAGAACCCATCACTTTTTTTTTGTGAATGTGACTCTAGCATCCCAATGGGATATGCTATGTCGGATGAATTCGTTATTCTTTAATTCTTTGATCTGTTTTATTAGTTCTTCTATTTTGACACGACTCATCTAGTATAGGGCAACTAAGATAGGTTGGGTGATGAGCTGAAGATCTATGACGAATTCAACTTATCGATCTACTGATAGTCCTGATAGTTCATCACGGAATACGTCTGAAAATTTGTGGATAATGGGGATATCTTGAAAGCAAATCTCTTCCTTAGGTTGTCTAACATGGAAAAGAATAGTTAAGTTAAATGCATTCAATAAACAATACAGTCACCATATGACAACAATATATAATATTTCATTAATTAATGAAAGACTCTTCATTAGGAATATTGAATACAAGGTTCTTGTGATAACAGTCCATAGTGGTGTGATATAGTTCTAACCAATTTATTCCCAGAATTACATCAAAATTTTCTATGTCAAGTGCTATCAGATTTATGCTCAATTTCCTACATGCTATCTCTATGATACAAGCTTTGTATATAACATTCCTCAGTAATGTTTCATTCCCAAGTGTAGAGACAAACAATACAGAATCGAGACTTTCAGGTAATACATTTAAATTATGAGTAAAAGAATGTGAAGCACCAGTATAAATAAAAATATGTGCAAGGTGGTTGCAGATAATATACTTACCTTTTATTACATACAAGTTGGCTACAACATCCTGCTGAGTGAGTGTGTAAACTCTGTCCTACATTGTGGGTCTGATCTGATTCTGATTCCTCGGGCACTCTCTCACGTAGTACTAAACACTTTCGCATATGCGACAGGTGTTGTTGATGCGATAGCAAAGTCAATCTCCATGATCATTACAATAATACTGGCAAACTTTGTTGCGTCCTGCTATCGGGGCCAAGGGATGAGCTTGAGTTGCAGGTCTTGATCTTTTGTTTTGCTAGTTCAGTACAGTAGGTGCTGGCCTGCGATGCAAAAGCAGGGGCTTGGAGTTGCCCACTACTGAGGAAAAAATGCGGAGGTTTCTCTTTATTAACTGTGTCTTGGCTAAGACCGCGGAATAAGTGCCAAGCTCAAAGACATATAATTGTCGTATGATCTCAAGACAAAGATCCTATTCAAACCTTCTTGTCTTCCTGCCTACATTTATCATGTTCTTAGGGGAGTACCGGCCTAACTCCAAGAATTTTCGAGCATACTCTAATACTGACAAATCTCCCTGGATTAGGTGTGCAAACTCTATTTCATTTAGATGTAGGAGGTGTTCTAGAAGATAGTCAGCATTGAAGGCTGCTAAAAATCATTCCCAAGTAACTGAAATGGGTAAAGTAGCTTGCTTAAGTTGTCACCAACGTCCTGCCTCACATACGAGCATATAAGTGGCAAGGATAACTTTCTATACAAGAACCACCTCAAAGGTCACGAAGGCCTTTTCCATCTCTTCTAACAAATACTCAGCTTCCTCAAAAGTGGATGCCTCTGTAAAAATAGATGGATTAAGTCTCTTGTACCTCTCGATGTAGTCCAGGTCTATCATAGATGGAGCTGGGTCCTGCTGGAGGGGGATCAGATTACACTGGGAAGGAACCGAGTGGCCCTGTGGCGGTACTGGGATGTATGGTGGAGGCACCGAATTGTACTGCGGTAGTGCCGGATGGTACTGTGGAGGAGTTGGGTTATACTGTGGGGGCACTAGATCCTCTCGGTGTGGAGGTGACTCGTACTGTGGTAGGAGTGGAGGGGGATGAAACAACTCCCTTCTCTCCTTCTGAGTTTGTTAGGCAGAAATGAGTCTCTCAAGCATCTCGAAGAGCCGATCAATATCCTAACAAAGCGATCCCTTCTAAGCTGCTCTATTTAGCGGGGGCTTTCCTCTCCTCATGTTTCTTTACCTATATTTCATAATAATGGTTTAAGATTCGGGTTGTATTAAATTTACTCTAACCCTATGTGCAAGGAGTGGTTTTGAGAAACGCAGCTCTGATACCAATTGTAAAGACCAAAACCCCCTACTAAGAATTCTGAGCGTATAACTCAAAAATAGTGAAACAAGTAATACTGAAATTTGTAATTTAGCAGAAGCAATTAGAGTTTAGGGTCACATTCCTTACACAATTTACTTAAAATACCTAATAGGGTTACAAGAATGCCCTTGAAAACTTAAATAGAAAAAATATAAAAGAAAACAAATATGATTAACTTTTACTCAAAACTGGAAAAGTGGAAAAAGTAATCTCCTAACTAGTTTTCTTGCTATCAGGGTCCGAATCTTGGTCGTCCTGATATGAAATGGTTAATAATAAATGGTAAGCTACACTAGCTCAGTAAGAATATTAACGCCATATCACTTATACGAAAAATCAAAGGGTTGTAGAAAACATAAAATAATCAATGAAGCTCATTTTTAATAAAATTCGAACGCTAGTGCATTCATTATTCATTTCATTGAAAATATTAATATTTCTCAACTTACTTGTAAATTTTTACATTTAATTTATTAAGGTAAGAATCAGAATAGTAATCTGCAATACGCATTCTAAAGAACATATAACAATTAACCTTACGCTATTTTTCGAAACTGGATTTCTTACCATATTCATCTTTATCATTTTACCTTTCTACCAATGTCGATGGGGGTCCATAGGGATCCCCACTACATGTGGACACGAACATTCATGCAATAATCAAACAGTTGTCCCCATACCCCGTATGATAATGGGTGCCAAAATACACAACCGCCTTAATACCCCGTTTGGTATGAATATAATTAAAATAATTCTCAACCCCTTATAGTATGGGATTTCTCAGCTCTGTATGAGTGAGAATAACATCGACAGTAGGGTTCACCCTATGCATCAAGTTCGTACACTCTTTCCTAAGATACCTAGTAAGCCTCATTCATTCAACACCATTAATTCACACATATCTTTTCTTTTGTTTACTATTTAGCTTTAAAAGACACATATATCTATATCCCAAACAACACATGAGTATGAAATTCATATTTTAAGGTACATACGTGAAATAATCTTGCATTATACCGACAGAAACGTATTATACACACAGTAGAATAATATGACAATATAGATTAAGAAACCTTATCACGTTAGTCGTAGAATTAAATGAATAAATTAAAGTAAGCAGTACAATGATTAAATAAGCATAATAAAGAATTGAAGAAATAACTAATGCAATTAAAGCTCAAAACAAACATAGATTGACTGGTTACTTGCTCCATTGGCAACCTGTACTTAATCAATTAAAGGACTGCAAATTAGATAAGTTTTCGTTTATTATCAGTTTAGCTTCAATTTAACCATAACAGGAAAAAAGGGATGAGAGATTCTTACTCTAGGTTGGTTTCTAGAACACTGTCTTTTTCACTACGGTTCTCGGCAGTTTCCAGTTCTTGAATTTCTTAAATTTTTCTATTAAGATCAAAATGTACGTCAAAATAGCAAGAAAATATGCGAGAAACAGCAAAAAAAGACAACTCTCACTAAAGGGTTGGGTTGGGTTCTAGAGTAGTGGTGGCGCCATGCTCGGACGGCTCCTCATCTCGGTCAGGCCATTTTCAGTCGATTCTCAGTAAAAATCTGTTGAAATCAAGGTTAGAAGATGTTTATCGATGAAAAGAGAGGAGAAATAGAAGCTCACTAGTGATTTTAGCTTTTCGATTCGGTGGCTCAGTTGAGCTCCACCGTTCTTTCTCGTGGGTCACGGTTGTTTTCGGTTATTCTGCATAAAAAATGTGTTAGGCAGTTAAAGGGCGAAGAAACAAAAAAGAACAGGAAAAAAATCGCACTCATCGGCACGTTTTGGGTCCTCGGTGCGGTTGCGCCAGTAGCTAGGCTTCTCCTCCGGCCGCCCTTCTTCTTCTTCTCCGACAAGTGGGTGCACGGCTAGGGTTAGGATTTCGGTGGAAGAGATGCTTAAATACCCCCTCCCTCGATTTGGACCGTCTATCCAGGTCTGCATGGATCCTCTTCAGCTGTCCGATCACGTTATTACGGAAACAGATCTGGACCGTTCAATCGAAGATGCGTGAATCGTCTGATCGTGCTTATCCGGGAAATCAATCCAAACCATTCGTGCGCGCGGGAGTGAACACAGGTCGTTGGATTGCCCTGGCACGCAGATTGCCCGCGTGGAGCCCATGCCAGCATGTCTGCTACGCGACACGTTCTGACTCGCCGTGCTGCTGACATGGCTATCCTACATGGCCCGCACTTTCTCTTTTTGTGATTTAACCCCTGTTTTTATTTTTATTTTTCAAATATACCCCTATTTATTTACAGTTTTACCATATTTTCTAAAATTATTTTTAAATTCATCCAAAATTTATATATCTAAAAAAAAATTAAAAATAACCATTTTATTATCATTAAAAAATTAAATTACATCATTTCGAGTCTAAATTCTAGGCTCAGAATGAATGTTACAGGGAGAATATGGAGAGGTATAAAGGTGAATTAAGAGAGAAGAAAATATTGAACAACAGACAAAGAGACGTAAAGGAGGAAAACAATGAATAGAACTTGGGAGATTGAGAGCAAAATGGGAGTTTGTTGAAAAGAAAGAGAAGGGGGAAAGCATTAAGGAAAAGAAAAGGGTAGTCTGGAAAGGTGAAGTTTTTTAGTTTGGACTTCGGTTTTTGTGAGATGGGATATATATATATATATATATATATATATATATATATATATACATAAATGATGATTCGATAGATTGAACACGAGAGAGTAATAAATTATATTTGGATCAAATACCGGGTTGAATTATACCAATCGATTTAATCTAGTTGGAAGCAAATTGAATTGATTTTTTAAATGATATTTTTAATCAAAAAAGTAATTAATAAAACTAAAACAAATAATTAATTTATAAATTATAATACATTATTTTATTTCATAATTAATTAAATATTAACTACATGATGGAGCTTTGTTTAAACACCATTTATATTGTCTTCTATCATATTTCCTTTTCTTTTAATTTAATTCTATACCTACTTTCACTTTTACTTAATTTTATCTCAACATGAACGCTATACATGCATACATACATACAAATTAATATTTTATTATATAGTGTATATTACAGGATGGGTGCGCTCAGATTTCTACTTTAAAGACTGATATTAAATGTCTCACGTCGTCTAATTTGGTAGAACTAATGGCAAACCCTTTTTATTTTACAATAGAAAAAATTAGAGACACAACAATTTTTTTGGTTAATTTTAATTTATTGCATACCAGAACATGATGACAACTTTTGCATTTACTAAATTGAATAATGCACATAAAGCTGAACGGCAGTATGCCTTAGTGGCTTTGCCACTTGACACCAGAAAAACTTTTTATTTCACATTACATGTGTATATATATATATATATATATATATATACAGACTTACATGTATACACACACGCATATATATATATATATATATATATATGCCTCGGATGGTACGTACCTCCCAACAATGCCAACCGACCATAAAAAATATTATGTGCATAATGACCTAAATCCCACCAAACGCCAAATATTCCCAACCCATGAGAAGGAAAACCACTACACATGCCTCTATATATACGACATATATATATATATATATATATATATATATTTGAGATGGTAAACTCATATAAACACAAAATCGCAATATGACCATCTGTCTAGACGCCTACCTAATCCCATTAAGTCTCTTCCTCACGCTGGGTTACCATGCATATCTATGGCACATCTACAAGAACAAACCCTCTGCTACCTCCATTGGAATTCTTGCACTCAGAAGGAAATACTGGTTCCTCACCATGAAACAGGTAAGCTTCACACTTAGACCTAATCTTAACTCACAAATTCATCCCCTATATGATAATCCACTAAGAGATAATAAAAATTGCAGGGTCGTGATGATAAGAAAATTATGCTGGGTGTGCAAAGCTTGAGAAACGCATTAATGGTGAGCATACTAACTGCCATCATCGCAATTATGGTTAACGTAGCATTGGCAGCATTGACAAACAACGCGTACAAAGAGAGACATCTATTTAGCGCTGAGTTTATGGGTTCGGAGTCAGGGAGGATATCCGTGGTGAAGTATGGTTCGGCGTCATTGTTTCTGTTGGTTAGCTTCTTGTGCAGCTCCATGGCAGTTGGGTACTTGGTTGATGCAAATTTCTTGATTATAAATGGCTGGAGTTATACGAGATCAATAATGGAAAGAGGGTTCGTGTTGGGTTTTGTTGGGAGTAGGATGTTGTGCATCACCTTCCCTTTGCTGCTATGGATGTTTGGTCCTATTGCAGTGCTCTTGTCCTCTGCTGGACTTGTTTGGGTACTATACGACATTGACTTTGCTTCGAAATTCCATCATACATGATATTTAAACATCATATATATATATAAGCATCTAGATCTATATACTTGGAGAATATAAATATAAATATAAATATATATATATATATATATATGATTTCTTCAATTAGTATATGAAATTATTAATAATTCCAAGATACAATCCAATCAAGGTGTAAAATTAATTCGGTTATCATTCTTTGGTATATATCATTTCCCTACCAATTACTTTTTAAAGTTTGTGGTTGTGCTTCCCATTTGGACATGTATTTACTTTTCCTTAGCCCCATAATATTCTTCTAAATACTCAAAAGTTAATAGACATGTAGTATTTTCAAATCTTATATTATATGTATAAAATTTGGTATAAGTGTAACCATATCCAGTCACATAATCAAGAAAACATTAACCTTTTTCTAAAATAAATTTAATATAAACTTAATTTATATTTTAATTTACTTATTTTAGTTATATATTAATTAATATATCGCGAACATAAGTATACATCATCGCAGATAATTAAATTAATTATTTATATGTACCAATTGAACTGATATACAGATTGTGTATAATATAGATTCATAATTAATTTAATTATTTATGTGCATCGATTTGATTAATTTGATTAAGATATATATGGTATATATTACATAGATATATATATATATTTAATACGTACCTCACATGTTTAATAACTAGTAAAATAAATTATTTTAATTAATACTATTTTATTATATATTATATTTTAATTTAGGTTATATTTAAATATTATATAAAAATTATCAAATAACATAAATTTATGTTATTCATATTTAACAAACACACTTTGTTTTATATTTTTACTGATTTTTTTTTTTATATAAGCTATTTTAGAAACCAAAAAATAAAACATAACAAATATATTTAATCTAATTACATCAATTATATATTTCAATTAAAAAATATATATATAGGTAGCCATGAAAAAGTAATTACTTTTAGAGGAACAAAAAAAAAAAAAAAAAAAAAGGATCAGACATCCCACAGCAAGCCCTAAAAATCAAAGCAGATTTCCCAGCATTTCACATATAGAATCATCATAATAACATTTGGCTTCTGCTTATTAGGTTGGTAAAAACTCAAAAGAATTCACTGAACTCACCTGGGGATATTGGTGCTTTATCCAGGGAAACCATGCAATAAATTAATTGCTTATTAGTAAAAGTGTTTAGCTCTAGTGGCACATTTCTCTGTATGTGGATGAAAGATCATGGGTTCGTTCAATCTTTCTTTATGACAAGAGCAATAATCATTAATAAGAAAACAAAAAGAGAAGCACTGGGAAAGTGGAGACAATGGTGTATGCATGCAAGATAGATGTTGAGTAACTCCAAAAGCTATTTCATTGTTTATATAGGCCTTTGGTTCTGTAAATTTTCTAACCGTATAAGTTAGAGCATATATCTGCACTATAAATGAGCTCATTGTTGCGAGAATAACTCTATCATTCTACCCACCATCCAAATCACTACTTAAACTGCATATGAAAATTCCCACTTAGTTCACACACCTCCGGGCTCCTTCTTATTCATTACCTAGATTCATACAATCGCCCAAGAGAAAAGAACAGCATCTACCCTTTAACCAATTTGCTCCATAATCCTTCAGGCTTCCCACAAGCCTGAGTTCAACACATTCTCTATCATCCCTCTTTTCCAAAATTTCCTAATCCGATCATCCCTACTTTCATAGATAAAACCTAAGTAAGAGCAACACCATATATATGCATGTGCAAGAAAACAAGATCTTACTCTCCTATCTCTTCAAGAAAGTAATATAACAATGTATGATCTCTTAACTAGAAAGATCTTACAAAATAAAGGAAGGAAAGCAAAGGATAATACCTCTACACCAACCGAGAGGCGCAACCCGACTTCATCACGCCGGAGCAACTAACCCTATTGGGGTTTCTGGATTCTTCGCCTAGAGAGAGAACGAAAAATTAGGATTTTTTTAAGGAAAGCAAGATACTCATACTTCCGTGCCACTCCAGCTACAAATTGCATAACACATGATAATCTCATCATACTTAATGAAACAGTGTGCATTAGGTATGGATCCTCTCTGTGTTTCGGGCTTCCAGCCTGTTTGCCTCTAATCCATACTCAATTTACATCCCCTCTCAAGATGGAGAATAGATATATATTTTTCGCCCACTTATCATCCAATGGTTAATGTTGTGGATGATAAGTGCTTTCTTTTTTCTTCTTGTTGTATAAAATAGCTAATGAAATTTTATTTCTAAAGGGTTACAAATTTGATATGACATACAATAACAGGAATGTATTACACACACCCATCAAGGAGGTAGCTAACTACTGCTTCGGGAAACAGTATTGAATTGTAAACAAGGAAACCACTAATATATATTCTACTGTGGAGAAATATATATTCTACTGTGGAGAAATATATATATATATATATAGGAGAAACATCATCAAAATTCAAATGGGAAAACCTCATCAAATCCAACAGATATAGATTTCCCCATAACATCCATCTCCAAACTGTGATGAGTGCTCGGCATGCACGATTCAAATGTGGTGATATCGGGAGACAGAAGATAATTGGACGAAGATGAAGATAACTGGTTGTTTGTTGTCAATACCTCTTGTTTGCATTCATTTTTTAATGACGAACTACTGGGAAAGGAAATAGAAAATGGAGTATGATCTCGTTTGATACTGTCATTGGTGATACTAAAACCGAGCTGAATGGATTCATTGACTAAATGATTAGCGTTAAGAAAGTTTTTGCAGGTGTGATGCCCGTAATACGTGGTTCGATACAGTGGAGGATCGTCTCTAATCTTTTGCACTTGCTTGGTTGCTTGGCACTTTTGATCAGTCTTGTGCGTACACCTAAAGTAGCTCCTGCACACACACACACATATATACCCACAAATTTATGTAAGTACCCACTCCTAATCTTGAATCTGAATGTGTATATATGTATATACCTGGGATGGTTGGCTTTGAGGATATCTTTTTGTCCATACTTTCTCCAAGCAAATCCATCATCAACCAAAGCAACTGCCTCCGTAGTCCAAACATGTGGACTCTCTCTGCAAGTGTGGTACGAGTTCAAGCATTAATTTTCCTTCAGATAAATTTTTTTATTATAAGTAAATACATTTATTAATATCTAATAAATTAACAATAATCATAATATAATAGAAAACAATTTGACATAGAAGAAGAGTACGATCTGATTCAAAACCACAACTTTTATAAAAGAAGTAACTTACTTATCATTAAGTTTAGTGAGGGTTGAAAATTTTCATTAACATAATTTGCAGATCAATGGATATGCCTAAATTCTTCTTTAATCTGTAACCATGTGCAACTCAGGGAGATGTAGTATATGACCCACCTCTTACTATTTTACCTCATGATATTTTGATATCAAAATTTTTTATCAAACTGAGTATGACTGAATGTGTGATAGCATTTAGTATACCAGGAATATTAATGATCCTGGTTATTGCAATTGTTCTAAAAACCCTTTTTTTTTTTTTTTTTTTAATCTTCTAGTTACCTTCTAAAATCTATTTGTTACTTCAAAATCCCTCTGACTAACATTAATTAGTAGATGGGTTCGGTCCAAAATAGATAAAATTATGACTAAAAATGTATAATCATTCCAAGATTATAAATTCATTGCGGCACTTATTATATAAAAATATATTACATAAATGAGAGTTATTAATTTTCTTTGTTATAATTTTTTCATTAATAATATATAAATATTAATCATAAAGTAATTAAGTATTAAGTTAAGGAGTGAACTAAAATCTTCACCGATATAACTTGACTATTGTGCTGAGGAGTGAATAAAAATTTGGATTGATATAATTCAAAGATTAAGGGATCCGTCTAAATTTTTCTTTAATCTATAACCATTGCAACCCAGGGAGATCTAGTCGATTTTGAATCCATTATCAAGCTCTTACAATTTGAACTTATGATTTTCCTGTAATGTGCGTGTGCGTGTGCGTGTGCCTGTGTGTATATTGCCCTAATTGTAAATAAGAAGTAATGTTCTCGAAGAGAGAAGGATATATCTATGTGTAGGTGTACCTTCTCTCGCAGGAGCCTCTCCTATCCTGACGCATCTTACTCCTAATACTTTCTGTTGAGTCTTCAGAGGATTTGTGGCCATCATAACAGGCAAGTGTATTTTCAAAGGACTCGAGAATTTCTGAGACGAGATCTTCCTTGGTGATAGAGTCGAGATCAGGTTGGTTGACGAGTTTCTGCAACTTTTTTGCGGACTCATGACCTCGAAGAAGCTCTTCAATGGCATAGATTTGGTTAAACGCCATCGTCTTGGTTAGTGTGCGCGTGTGTGACCTTCAGGCAAGAGGAAGAGGCTTACAGAGAAGAGAGTGAGGTTTTGGGTTTTTATTTTCAAAGGAAAGACAGAAAGAAGGAAGCCAGAAAATTCCTAATTTTCAGGAGTCGTCACGCACACGCGCTTTTCTTAAACGACCTTCTCCGCTAACTTACCCACATTTAATCATACATTATTGTATTAAGTTTGTAATCTTTTCTTATTTTTATAATTTAAAAAATTTAATTATTACGAAATATTTATCTCACTTAAAAATATAATAAATTTATTAAAAATTTAATTTAATTTGATCACCGTAATTTATCAATAAATTAATAAATAAAATTCTTAATTCTATTGATTTAAACATTATAAATTTATAATACACTTTTAAAATAACAAATTCTATATTATCAATATGATATTTTTCACTTAAATGCGGTATTGAACATTCAATAATAATTTTATGTTACACCGATCATATTAAAAATAATATTTTATTTATTAAATAAAAATTATATTTATATAAAAAAATAAATGTAATTTTTATACATGTGTATTTAGATATTTAAGAATTTTAAAGAAAAAAGAAAGACCTAGAAGTTTTTTTTTTTTTTTTTAAAGAAAAACTAAAAGCTTAGAATATTTGAATATTTGCACTTTTATAAATTTCTATGGTCAAGATTGTACTTTTAAATAACATTTTAATTCCCATTAGTAAACTAGGTGAAGTTTGAGTTAGTTGATAGTCAGCTTAGCGCGTGGTCAATTAGTATTGAGTTGCTTCCATACTTAAGTGATGTCATTTCATCACGTCACGTCCATGACATCATACCCTCGTTGCCAATTGGCACGCTTCGTATTAAAAAAGCATCATTATCCTTGTGAAAAGACTAATATACCCTTGATTATTGAATGCAACTCTGGTCGAATCCTAAAAAAGCAAACCAGACAATAACCCGGTCGTTAAATTCCTCGTTTCTTAAAAATGAGTTCTGCGGATAGACATGCACTTGGGGACGAAATTGTATACCCACTAATTACCGTTTCTCATGTACTTTCCTCACCAGTGATCCTCATCATTCAACACCAGCCGTCCGATATGCCCAACCTGCCCGATTCCAGTTTCCAATGCCAATTAGATTTCACTGGAACTATAATACTGTTATGAGGGATTTTTTTTTATTTATTTTATATTATGTTTTGTGTTTTTCTTACGTTAGTATTAAATTTTTTTGGACATATACTTATATTATATTCATATATTAGTTAGCAATGACTCCCAGGTATTATTATATTATTTTAAATTAATTTTTTATTTAAAATTTTTATTAATGTTAACATCTTAGTATCTTAACGCCCCATAAATGTAAGTATTATAATATGGTCTAATGTTTAGTTAATATTGATTTTTTAAAAATAATAAAGAAACTAAAAATACATGTAAACTCTTTTAACTTTTTGTTACCACTATGTATAATTTTTCACGTACTCCAATAAGAATACTACTTTAAATTTCATCATCTTGTAAATTTAGCACATTTTATATTTTATACTTTACTTTGTTAACATTCAATTAATTGGATTATTATCTAATCATACTTAATTTGGTCCAATTAAATATATGTAAATCTTGATCTTTTACTTAAAACTTAAGTACGTTAAATTGTTTTG